TCTCCGCTGCCCTCACTCACCTCTGGGTGTCTCACTGTTTGTTTTTTAATGCATTCTGAAAACCCCTCAGACTTGGACATGACATAGAGCTACATTTTTATAGTGGGGAGAAGAGGAGAACCAACATGCTGGAAACATGTTGTCATCACTACTGGAATTTTCCCCTTATTCTAAACTGAGCCGATGCTGAGGAATGTAGAAAAAAAAACACCCTCCCTCAGAGTTTTGGTGGTGAGCACTGTGTGTTTTGTACTGTATGAGATCAAACATATTTAACACAGAGACACAGAGAATGTAAAGATTCTCCTCAGGACCGAGGCAGAGGAGGACACACTGGACCTGCGGGGTTTAAACTAAAACAACACCTGCGTTAGTGACACAAAAGCAAGCCACTTGACTGGACACTCACTCAATTTGTAGACACGCATGCACACACTGTTCCAGGTCGGCCTGGGTCTACCAAACACTGCCGTTTTTGGGGGGGGGTTGTGGTTGTACACAGCCACAGAAACAACCATCATCATCAGTGGAACTTTTTCAAAAACTCCACATTTTTCTGCATGAAGACTCACGTCAGGGAGGAGCGTCTGCATGTTGGTTGGTGTGTGTGTGTTTTTTGTTTGTTTCTTTTTTCAAAGCTTGTGTTAAGGGATGTTTTTGTTCGGCTGCTTTGCCTAAAGATGTGATCCAGATTCAGCTCAGCTGGGTTTAAAACAGGCTCCGTGCTTTTATTGTGAAAGCTCCTGTGGTAGGTTGAATCACTTGAAAACACACTGGAACACACTGCAGTAATGAGTCCAATCCCAGCGGATGACAATAATAATCAGGACAGCGATGAAGATCACAGCAGACCTGGTTTTCTCCCTCCGCTCACATCACTGCAGTGTAACGACTGTTGACTCCTGAAAACCACTGTAGTTTTGTTGTTTGTTTGTTTTGTTTTGTTGTTTTTTTTGGTTGTGTTAGACTGTGATTAGACGTCAGTGCACTTTAATTCCTCATCTCTCAGCTTTAGTTTTTCTTTTTTTTTTCCATCTAATTTGAAAACCTCTGTCTAGTTTGGTGACAGTGTGAAGTTCAGCAGTGAGCACCGGGAAGTTCTGCTGCTGCAAAAACTCTATACAACCAGAAAACCTTTGAATATAGTTTGTAAATGAAGGCTCCCTCCTCAACTGTTACGTAACCTCATTAAAATAATTAAAATGATAATTAACCAGAACATTAATGGAGAAATCCAACTGTTTTTTAAAAATGCAAACCTGTTTTCCCAGTTGTTTTGTGACACATTATACATTAGTTACCAAAATATATGGAAGATTTAAATATGATGACATTATTAATGAAAGCAAAGAAATTAGAGGTATAAATAAGTTTGTATATATGCACATATGTTTTTTTTTTTTCACAGAATGCTAGGTCTGCACAGATGTTTCATGCTGCATTGTACTTCTAATGGTATTTTGAGCATGGCTCGAGTGTTGCTTTGTTTTGCTACTGATATAACACCAACAACAGCGTTGTGAAAAAAAACAAAAAACTGATGGATTTCTCCTTTAAGTTCAGTCCATACAACATACCTAAAAACATACGACCGCTTCCAAACCGTCATGTTTTCTAAGGTTGAAGAGTGTATGAAGAGGACAAAGGAAAACAAACAGTTATTTATTACAGTAGAGACTTGTTTTCCTACAACTCTTTGTTACGACACCTCAGTGTGCGATGACTGCATGTCCAATATGAAACCACATCCACAGGCACTTTTCCACTGGTGGTTTAAAAGAGTGCACAGATAAATCACTGTGGAAACACTGTGGATGATGTCCATGTTTTTGTTTTGTTTTTTCTTGTACTTCTGCCTCAAGAATGTGCAAACTCAGAGCATCAGGTCAAAGCAGAGAATTTCAATTTAATTTATTCATCATTGGAGTTGATTTGATTTATTTGGACATTTTTGAGCCTAACAATAAAGTGCCAACCCTGAGAAAATCTAACATATCTTTCTGTCAAACATAGGAATTTTCTGTGTTATAACATGGATTATTTCAAGCCCTGAGTTAGTGGTGGTGTATAACAAAGGATTTTAATGTCTTTTTATAGCTATTTAACAATTATTATTATCATGTTACAACATTACAGAATTCGATGAACTCTGAGTTTACTGTGAAGGCAGATGAAGGAACATTTATTTTAAAAAGTTCAACAGGAAGTGAGGTATTAATGAAGGATTTTTCTTCCTGTTTTTTTTTTCGTCTTTGTGTGACCAGAACCTGATGCAACTGATGTAAATCAAAATAAAATATTTCTGTTGGTTCCTGAGTTTTTTTGGAAGAATACATGTCATCTTGTGTTTTCTTTTTTCCCAGAACAACAATGTTGGTCAACTCTATATATACTATATATATATATATATATATATGAGTATATGTACATACATATATAATAATATTCACACCTGATGAAGCTTTTTGTCCATAAGAAACTGCAATTTTGCTCATGTTGTTTCAAAGAGTGTATTTAAAAAAAAAATTAAAATATTTTCTAGCTTAAAGGCTCTCTTTTCCACGTCAACATGAGGTAGAGCTCAACATAAGGCCCTAAAGGTTAAAAGGCCAAGAGGACGTCCATGTTTTCTATATTATTATGTAACAATACAATCATTTAATTTGTCAATGTTCCGCGTTCCAAGGGTCAGAGCAGAAGGGGGCGACATTCACGTTCCTCCTGTTGTTTTCTAAGGACACGGACGACACGGTGACATGTCTGTTATCATGTCAGGAAGAAGGAGAAAAAAATGTTTTTCTTTCTTTCTTTTTTCGTTGCCCTCTGCCTCTGACGCTCCATATATGGCAAAGGAATTAAAGTTGCGCGATTGAAAAGAAGGGCGGAAACGCGGCGCAGGGGCTGCTGGGTAATTTCACCCACATTCAGGAAGAAAGAGACGACAGTGCTGCTGATTCAGTCTGCGAACCTGCCGCTGCTGCCCCGCGGATTCACTCACTGACAGACAACAAGTCGAGGACTAAATCACTGCTCTATCGGTTTGATCAGGTGAGCGCCATTTTCATTTCTTCATTTTGTTACGGTTTTATCGTAAATATTCTAACAGAGCGTTTAAGTGTCAGTGTCGCTGCATGAATCTAAATCTGAAGCTGTGTGTTGTATCTGCTGTGATGCTAACGCAGCTTCGCCGGCTAGCACAGCACAGCACCGCTCGCTCTCTTGCTGACATCACGGGTCATTTTTTAAAATTAATAAAAATGTTTAAAACCATAACACAATACGATATTTTTTTCCTCATTAAATCGCATTAAGCCAACGACTGCAGGAATGTGACAACTTCTTCTTTTGTACGGTGAAGTGTAGCATTAGCTAACACAGGGAGGGGTGTGTATTTGAGAGATAGAGGAAGAAAAAAAAAATCCAGGAAATGCCGTAACAGAGAACAGACAACAGACAGACAACAAGAGGAAGGACGTGACAATTAACACACAAACACAGAGGGTGGACAACATCGACTACTGCATTTTCTCAATGTGTTGCTACAGAATAAAAAAACGAATTTACGGTTTGCGGTAGCTTCCACTCCTGGTCTGAGGTGTAATGACAAATCTGGTTCACCGTGCAGTTTGGATTCCGTTTGGCTGTTTTCTACCCTGAGGTTCTGCATTTGTTATGGTTTATGACTCATTTTAAGTAACTTGCTTTATCGCGTTTTAGTGTATTTGACTTATTTTGCTTAGCATTTATATACAGTTTTGCACCACAATAAACTTGAAGTATGGACTGTTGTTTCTTTGTCCTGCACAATGAGACTGTCAGGTCAGAGCTCACTGCCATCTTTGGCTCAGTTCAACCTCTGCGACAGAGAAGTATCTGAACAAATGCAGTGCAGATACTGCTTTGCATATTGCACACTGAGACTGGAGTCCTCCCATCCTACCCCACCGCCCCTGTGCCCTCTCTTGGGGCTTCACGTGTAGAATATTTCCAACATGTCTGTTAATGCAGTCAGTCGTGTTTTCACACGTCAAGAGCACATGTATTCTCTGCACGCCTAAGCCCAACGGCCTCGTTCCATTTCACTTTTTTGTTTTACATTTGGCCTGAAACCATGTTTTCTTTAAGTCAAATAAAAGTTCCAGCAGACGTTGACAGCCGCGGTGGAATCCTACTGTTGCTTGTCCTTTCTTTCTGTAGGACCCAGATCAGAGGAACATGTTATGAGTGGAACAGTTTCCACTTCACTGGTATTTATATCTGGCCTCCTGTGACTGGACGGCTGCTCTCTCCTCAACACTGTTGTTTCCTTGACAATCAGCGTTTTACTTGACTGTGGTCACTTGGCGTCTTGAGGACGGCTCAGGAACAAACATGTCACCAGAAATGCACTTCTTTAGGGGATTTCAACCCCTACAACCAGGACTTTTCTTCCTTTCTTTTTTCTTTGCTCAAACTGTTCAGCCATTGATATTTATTGTTTTTGGCGTCTTTAAACCTCCTTACACCTTGAGGGCACCACTCCCTTCCTGGTGAGTCATTTTCTGAAACCAGGAACTCTAGCTGCTGAACTCTGTTACCTACAGAGTCTGCAGCGTTGATGAACATGTAGGTCAAGATTGGCAAAAAAAACCTAAGGACTTCTGCTGGTGATCTAATTCTACACAACATCATCATCAGCTTAGTCCAAAAATAGTAACTTTATCTCTCAGTTTGTGACCCTTTGGTCGTGTTTTAAAACCTTAAAAGGCATTGCTCCTTTAAGGCACATTTTGGTGGCTTAAAGGAGCAGAGCAAAGAACCTGGAGAAACACACCAAACCCTGAGAGCAGAAAGGTCAGATCTGAGGAGTGTCCAGGCTGTTTTGTACCGCCTGGACACCTGTTTTCTATTCCAGCCATCGCAGCCAAACCTCTTTAAACCCCAGTCATCAGATATCCCAGGATTAAACTGGTCTCCTCAGCCAGCAGTGAAAGCGAGGCCGTCGTTGAGGCCGCTGTTGTCGGCGCCGCAGGTTTCTCTTGGACTCATTAGACAGAGTGGTCCATGTGACGACTGGTTGAGCTTTAATCACCCGAGACACTCTCTATGACACAGTGAAAGGCGGTGTCAGGTTCCAGCAGTCTTATGTAATGTCAGTGGTGTTCATCAGGGTGTGTGGACTAAAGGTTGAGTCCCTCGGGTGTGAGATAAACCCAGATGTGGATTTAATGACGGACCATTTATTGTTAGTGCGGTTCAACGGCTGTGAAGTACCTCGCACCATTCAGTGGTTCTGTTGGGGTTTTTCTGCTTCACGTGACACAGTGCAGTGCAGCACGACGTCGATCGAAGGAGTGCTCTCTTTTGTGTGGAGTTTGCTTGTTGCCTTTTGTCTGCTGTTGCTGCAGCTCAGATTTCCTGGAGAAAAATGATGTTTGTGTCTCAGAGTGTTGCTGCAGCTGATCCAGGGTCAGCTGGGACCGCCTTCAGCTCGTCCTGCAGAAATGTAGGAATAAACTATAAACAAACAGGATTCTCAGAAAGGTGGTGCAGTTAGGGCTGTACGTTTGTGATGGGTTTTTTTTTTTTTTTTGCAAAACTAATTTGTTTAAACAAATAGATTGAAATTTGTTGCTCCAGACTCAGAAAACGTTAGTTTGTCAGTTTGACCTCAGTGGATGTATTCAACAGTCGATCCTTTTCCCCCAAATTTGTTAAAAAGGTAGAAAATGTTTTGATCTGCAGAGGCTAACCTGTTGTTTTGCATGGACCACTGACATAGTTGGAATAACAGGGCAGGTCTCCACTCCTCACAGAGCAGGCAGTAAAGACTGACTTACCTTTTCACACTGCAGGTCCTGACCTGCCTGTCACTGCAGGGCTGGTGAACTACCACTGGGTTTTGGCAAATGTTTTCTACACGATCAAGATGTAAATATATGCCTGAGTAGTAACTTGATTGGTCAATTACTCTTATTATTAATTATGAGATTATAATCTGGACCCAGCCTGTCTGTAGTCAATCCAAAAACACTATATTCACTGCTGTAGAAACCTAAGTATATTTTGTTTGTTAACAGTCTGGTCCATGTCATCATTAGCTGATTCCTAATTGGTTTAAGCTGTGCAGTGAATCCCTGGATGTGTTGCGACTGCAGTAGCCTACATACCTCAGCTAAAACTGACCGTGTTTGTGCCGATGAGTGTGAACTGACCTGATTTTTCTCCTCTGACACATTTTTTTTTTTATTTCTGCGTTCTTCCCCGGGCAGGTATGGCGGAGTTGGCGAGTCTGGTGCAGCGGTTGGAGGTGGCCGTGGGCCGCCTGGAGGCCATAGGGGGTCAGGGTGGTGCTGCGTCAGGTGCTGCTGCAGCAGGTAATGATCAAGTTTGTACAGTGTGAAGAGTAAAGGTCGCGACCTTTTCCACACAGTGTGTAATAATGACTGCTGTGTTTTTGAACCTGTATCAGAGTACGTGGATGCATTTGATGAGATCATCAACGGCCCTGTGGCTGAGTACCTCTCCCTCAGCCAGAAGATAGGGGGCGATGTTCAGAAACACGTAAGTCGGTGTGTACAGAAGTGAGTGTTTGATCAGTTTGGAAACAGACTTTCTGAATCCTCTGTCTTGTCCCTCCAGGCAGACATGATGAAGCAGGCCTTCTCTGCTCAGAAGCAGCTCCTGGTCGTGGCCTCGTCCTCCCAGAAGCCCTCTGATGTGAGTTGGAGAACTTAAGACTGGATTTGGAACATGCAGCCTGAAGTGCTGACACTAATTGATCTGTGTAAACTCTCTGAATTATTGATGGACTTCACCTCCTCCCCTCCTCCCCCGTCTCAGTGTCAGCATACGGATCGATTTTTATTATTAACAGTTAACTGTCAAATATTTATGTTGTTTTTTGTCTAAATTCCTGTCCCCCCTCCGTCTTCAGGCGACCATGACGTCTCTGCTGCAGCCCATGTCCAAAATCATCCAGCAGGTGACAAATTTCCGTGAGGTTCAACGCACCTCGCCGTTCTTCAACCACCTCTCTGCCATCAGCGAGAGCGTCCCTGCTCTGGGATGGGTCGCCATGGTGAGTGTGTGTGTGTGTGTGTGGGAGTGGGGGGACATGTGTGTGAATCATGGTTGGAAACAATCCCGTCTTTGATTCTGTCTGCTCAGCGCCGCTCTGTTGGCTGACAGCAGCGGGAACAGAGACGATGCTGTCACAGCGTGATGATGAACTGTTGTTTGTCGACTTGATCTCGATGAATAAAACATCATCTCCATCATTAGACACAGAATAGAATCTCTGTGTGTGTTTTCCCTCTTTTGATTTTTCTCATGCACATTTGAACTGAACATGTTGGTTTTCCCTCCATCTTCATTCTTCAGGGACAAATGGAAAAGACTGGAGTTTTTTTATGGGACGTCAACAAATTGTATTTGCCTTGTGTTTATAGTTTTAGGATCGTGGACAGTTTCAAAACACTGTGACGTTTGAGTTTGTATTTACAGTATATTTGTACTGTATGTGGCCACATATACTGTATGTATGTATCTTTCAACACCAGTGTTTTCAGTTTTTGATATATTTTTTTCCCCCAGGCTCCTAAACCTTGTCCCTACGTCAAAGAGATGCAGGACGCTGCCATGTTCTACACCAACCGTGTGCTGAAGGAGTTCAGGGAGAAGTAAGTCCAGCTTCAGCTGACTTTTTGTTGTATCAGTAAACCTTGATGTTTGTGAAATATCAGCATAAAAAAAATGGAAAAACTTGGATTAGATTCACAATAAACTCCTGTTAATGTCGTCTATAAAAGTCGTCAGATTTACCTGAATAAATACAGAGCAGGATTTTAAACAAAGTTTCCTGAAAACTCTACTGTTTTGTGATGGATTTATTCTTATTTATTACATAACATTTGAAGTGAAGTCCAAACATCTGTTCTCCGTTGGTTTTCATTTGCTGGACTCCACTACAGCTCACTGTGTTCACTGTGAATTTCTGTCCACTCAATCAAACAAGTTTGTTCAATATCTATAAAAGGGGGCGCTGTAGAGCAGGTTTGGGACCACTAGACCTGAAATCAAAGAGTTGTTGTTGTTGTTGTTGTTGTTGGTTTTTTTTTCATTTTCTCTCAAATGTCCCAGCCACAGCCATGTTGGTCTGGTTAACATGAGCCTGATTACTGTTTCCACCCAGACACGACACCACTGTGTCTCGTTAGTCAGCAAGTTTACTGCAGAGTTGAACATGAATTTCTGTCCACTCAATCAAACAAGTTTGTTAAATATCTATAAAAGGGGGCGCTGTAGAGCAGGTTTGGGACCACTCTGTGGTAGGGTGAATTGTTAGTTTTATTTTTCTTTTCTCTCAAATGTCCTGTTTTTTTTTGTTTTTTGTTTTCTTCCTCCTGACAGGGATAAGACCCATGTGGACTGGGTGAAGGCCTACATCTCCATCTGGACTCAGCTCCAAGACTACATCAAAAAGTACCACACCACAGGACTGTCCTGGAGCAAGACTGTGAGTCTCCAAGAACAGAGTGTTTTTGTTGCTGTTAAACCGCTGATGTGGCTAACGTTTGGCTAACAGTCGTCGTTTATAACCTGGTGTGGTCTTCAGGGTCAGGTGGCCTCCGCCTCTGCAGCTGCTCCTGCTGCTCCCGCAGGTGGATGTCCTCCACCTCCTCCCCCCGGACCTCCTCCTCCTCCCATGGACTTGAGCGCCACATCCGGCGGCGGTGGTGGCAGCGACGATGATCGTAACGCTCTGTTTGCGTCCATCAACAAGGGAACTGCCATCACCAAGGGTGAGGAGCTCCGACCCCTCCATCCTGTTGGTCCCACAAGTTCAACACACTAACCCCCACCCCCTTTTGTCCAGGTCTGAAACATGTGAGCGACGACCAGAAGACCCACAAGAATCCCAACCTGAGGAGTGGGGGACCTCAAGTCCGTTCCGGACCCAAACCCTTCGCTGCTTCCGCCTCCTCCCCCAAACCTGCCGTGTGCCCAGCTCCGACCCGGGCCCAGCCTCCTGTACTGGAGCTGGAAGGAAAGAAATGGAAAGTGGTGAGTTTCTGGACCGCTTTGTGAACTCAACCTCAAAGTTGAAGCTTTTTCTATAATTCTATAATTTTGTTTTTTCCGGCAGGAAAATCACGTTGGAGTTCAGGACCTGGTGATCAGTCAAACGGAGCTGAGGCACGTGGTCTACGCCTACAATTGTAACAAGAGCACCCTGCAGGTCAAAGGAAAACTCAACTCCATCACCTTAGGTGAGAAACCACGCAGCGAGTGCTGGAACGATGAGATGTCACGGTCATTCAGTGTTTCACACACCATAGCTTTGGAACCACCGTGCTGAAGTCTCATTTCTTACACAAACCAAATCAATATTTATGAAATGAATACGATGTCTGTCTTTGTCACTGTTGTTACTTACGAAAGTTATGAAAATGATGCACATTTTAAGGCTAGTTGCACTGCCACTGCTCACCACTAGGGCCTGGTTCCTATTCATATTTATAACAAATTGTGTATTTCGTTTGTGGTCCTGATGACTGACGGTCTACTGTCTCCTCCGCTTGTAGATAGTTGTAAGAAAATGGGTCTGGTGTTTGACGACGTTGTGGGCATCGTAGAGATCATCAACTGTAGGGACGTCAAGATCCAGGTGAGGGCGCATTTTTATCCTTTGTCGTTGATCCTCTGATTTATCTGTAATAAATCAAAATCTGGATCTTCTGCTGTCGCGCCTCACGTTTTGATAACTGATGTTGTTGTTGTTGTTGTTGTTGTTGTTGTTGTTGTTGTTGTTGTTGTGTCCAGGTGATGGGGAAGGTTCCCATCATCTCCGTCAACAAGACAGACGGCTGCCACATTTACCTGAGCAAAGACTCTCTGGACTGTGAGATCGTCAGCGCCAAGAGCTCAGAGATGAACGTCCTCATAGTCAAGGAGGACGGAGACTACGTGAGTGTCTCTGTGTCCCACAATGTCTGCACGCTCCTTATCATAGCAGACCTCACTACCATCTGTCCGTACCTCCAACCACAATCTCTCCGTCTTGTCTTCCAGACGGAGTTTGCCGTTCCGGAACAGTTCAAGACCGTGTGGGACGGAACCAAACTGGTCACCACAGCAACCGAAATCGCAGGATAGACGCTGCGGTCCCGCCCGCTCCTCCACGACACATCATCACCTCCATCACCAGGCGCCCCCACCTGACCGACCGGTGTCCCACCAGCTGTCGCTCTGTAAACACTGTAGACTGAGATCTGGACCTCCCGTGTTCCATCTCCTTTTCCCTTTTTCAATTTCCCCGTCAGCCAATCACAGCTTCAGCTCTCCCCTTCCATCAGCCAATGAGAGGACCGCTTGCTTTACCTGGAGCAAAATCCTCCAGCCAATCAGCTGGGAGCACCTTGTCTCAATTATGATCCCAATTAGGACGTCCCTGTGACACAGGGAGCACAAAAAGTTTTGCCAAAAGCCATGCTCTTTATTTGTTGTTTTTTTCTGCAAAGATACATTTCATAGAAAGAACAAAAGCACTGCAGCCAATCAGGGTCTTCTCTAAGTAAAGCCTGGTTCTCTGTTTTCATGATATGCAATTTGCCAGTGAAGCTCTTGTCAGACAAAAGCATCAAAGTAACCGCCCTCATCGTCGTCATAGAAACCACTGTTATCGACTGTAGATGAAGTAAGTGTAGCCGTCAGTAACGATGTTCAAACAAACTCGTCAGCACTAAAGAGCACAGACAAACGAGTAAAAAAAAAACAACAAAGTTTGTGAAAAAACCACCACTGTAAAATCTACGTACTTCACCTTTACCTTAACTTTACGCTGCTGGTAGAACATTCCACGTGAAGAGGAGGCCGTCGATGAGAATGAGCAGAGACGTGATCACAGTCGAGGGAAAGACTAACAAAAAAAACATAACAATTACAGTCAGAATTTAGAATCTCGACTTCTGAGTTGGAAAAGAGTTAGGACAAAATGTTTTAGCTAAAATTTTGACTTTAATCATGGAATCCTGACTTTAGTCATTTCTGCCTTTGATCTAATATCTACCAACCCTAAAACTAGAATTCTTGAAAATTCTTTAGGACCAAAACTTTACCAAGGATTTTCACATCAATCTGACAAAAGTAAAAGTGGAGAAAAAAATCCATGTTCTGATCCATTATTTTGGTCGATTTCAATGTTGAGCAAAATGGAAGAAAAAAAAAAAATCTCCCTTTCTCTGTCTCTAACCCCTGAACTGTCTCCCTCTCTCTCTCTGTCTTATTCTCCCTGTCGTTCTTCCTCTTTTTTCTCATTCCTTTTTTTTTTATACTGTTTCTAATTTTCTTTGTCTTTGGTCCAAATGTCAAATGTCTGCTCATTAATACTGAAGACGTCATTAAATAAAGTCTTGCAATAAAAACTCGTGGAATTTGATTTTTTTTTTCACTTTTACTTCCATGTCTGTCATTTTAATGTGTCCATTTTAACTAATTAATGACAACAGTTGTTCTAAAGGATGCTTTGGTTCCCTCTAGTGGTATATGTATTGTTCTAAAGGAATGGTGTGGACAAATTGTGGTGCTTTGGTTCCCTCTAGTGGTATATGTATTGGAATTTACCTGAAAAAAAATTTCATAGTACTGTGTCCAGCAGAACAGCTAGGTGGCAGTGTACGGTGTCGGTGCTGTTGTGTTGTGTTCAAACACACTACAAAACACAACAGTAAAAGGAGGTGTAGGGCGCCCCTTCCGTCCGATGGCCTGCAGGTGGAGGTGGCACTTGTTAGAATGATCTGTTTGTTAGCATCACACACATTGCATATTAAAACAATGTCACGACCACACCACTGTTTTCTGGTCAAACTTTTATTTTCTCATTTCAGTTGTTACAACATTAAGCTTAAAAAACAAAGTAAAAAAACAAACATTTATACTAAAATAATTAATTAAAAAAGCTAAATTATTTTTCATCATTAACTTAGCATCAGTTAGCTCCAGTTGATCAGTGCAAAATGAATGTGTTTTTTATTGTGTAAATGCAATAATTTGATCCTGATTTCCTTGACTTTTTGTAACAGTGGTTGATTAGAACTACAGGAGTCTGGTTTTGCGTCTCTAGTGCAGGAAAGGCAGCAGGTTTTTGTCGAACCACTCTTTGGTGAACTGCAGGTGGTCTCCCTCTGTGGCCAGGAACACTAACTTCCCAGCTTTGTCCATCGCTGCCAGGCCGAGGCGATCCTGCAGAGACAGTCGTGTGGTTACACAGTCCACGCCAGAAACGGCTAGTCACGAGGAGTTAACACAATTTAGTCAAAGCTACAGCTAAGATAACACACAACATGTGTTAATCAGATGATGATGTTAGCACTGTTTGAAACACGACCCAGTTGAACCCAGTTGTTACCTCGGTGTATAAGACACTCTGCTGCAGCGTCTCCGTCTCCTTGGCCTGACCTGTCTTCAGGAAACCAAACCACTGTGAAGAGAACGGAGACAAAACTGTCTGTAGTGATGCTGCACAGTTACTGTAGTACTTTTAGTAGTTACAGACCACAGGAGGTGTGTGTGTTTACAGTGTGTGTGTGTGTGTTACCTCGGTGTCCACAGGGTCCACCACAGTGTCCTGTAGAAACTTCACCATCACAAACTTCTCCAGCTGCTGCAGATTCTTCTTGTACGTCTCATTTATGACCTTCACATTAAAGTAGAAGATGATGAAAGTCAAATCAGCTAAAAGTTGAAGTCAGGAATGTAACTTCAACAGATATTTGTTTAGGGTTAGCTAAAAGATGACTAATATTTGCAAAAATATGTCTGAAGGTTGAGCTGAAACGAGCTCAAAGTTCTATGTACTATGTGAACGCAGTACTCTGATACTCCACGGTGTTTTCCACGTACTGACCCGCTCCTGGTTGATGTCGGCCAGGAACAGACTGTGCTTCTTGTACAGGTCATCGTTTAACGGGTCGTGCCAGTACTGAGCCTGGACCAGACTGAAAGAACAACCCACCAAAACAGGACATTCAGTCAGTGCTGCAGGTGACGACGTCCGCTGCACCACAGCACCGCCACTGAGGCAGAGACTCACTGTTTCTGGACCATGTCTGTGTACGCGCCGCTGTTCAGAGCTTTACGGATGATGTCACAGATGTGGGAGCTTTCCCCAGGACAGCGAGGGAGACCGTAGACTCCTGAGGAAGAGGAGGAGGAGGACGGGCAAAAGACAGGAAGAAGAGAGAGGAGAAGACAACCAGTAAATAAGAAACGTCTTCCCTCAGAGATCAGAGAACTCCTGGTAAATAAGAAACATCTTCCCTCAGAGATCAGAGAACTCCTGGTTCTTTTCTAGTTCCGTTACCTTGGTGCTGACCACCCACAGATATGAGCTTTTTCATTGGTGGAGAAGGACAGCGCTGAGCTACGGCTCTCCTGAGAAGAGACAGGAAACAGTTCATTAGACCATGGTCACCGATGGTCCACATTAGAATTACTATGACTGATCCATCCTTTCAGTGCCAAAAGAGCGGCTACGTACAGAAATTGCGCCCCCTGGGAGAAGCCCATGGCGTTGTATCCTGCCTTCAGTTTTGGATCCTGAGCCAGTTGACTGCAGACCATGGACACCTGCTGATTCACATCCATGAAAAATCCATTTTCTGTGTCCTGTAGGAGAAAAACAAATCATGAAATGGTGACAAATATAAAGATGTTTATTTAAAATAATTATAATAATAAAAAAAACCTCAATGACGTTTTTCCCGATCATGAGTGAGAGAACGTAAATGCCTGGAATCTCCCCCTCGATCATCTTCTTTATCGCCCCCATGCTGACAGGGTTACAGCAGCTGTCACCTGATCAACACACACACACACACACACCAACAAACAATATCATTTCATACATTTCTACAGCTCCACAGAAACACGTTATCCTTCCTGTAAAGTTCTCACCCATCCCGTGCCATATCACCAGGGGAACGGTGTCGTTGCTGGAGCCGTGAACCGGACCAGCAGCTGTTAGCAGAACTGGAGCCACTAACAGGAAACTGATCAGAGAGGCGGCCATTGTGGAGCCTGACACAGAAAATTACATTAAAATTAGCCAAATAAAAATAAAGAAAAAGTAACAGAGTATCATCCATACTGATACTTAAAGTTTGACCTCCAAAACAGTTGTACAATAAAAACCAATACTAATGTTAGCAATAAAATACCTAGAACCTTGTGCCATGACTACAAGCTAAAAGGAGAAGAAAAAGTGAAAGTGAATTATTGTCATTGATGCAAGGCACACCACCGTCACAAACGTTTGCACAGAAATAATAATAATATATTTTGTATTTAACAAAAATGAAAGTTACCAAAAAAACAGTAGGGGAATATTTATAAGTGATAAGTGTTAACCACAAACACACACTAAAGAGATATGCAACAAAAGAAAGATAAATGTGTGTTTGAGGGTTTCCGGGTCGTGTGTGTGTGTTCTCTCTAATCGTTACTCCTTTTAGTTCTTTATCTTTTAGATAAACGGGAGAACAGACTGTGTTTAAGGAGCAAATAGACAAAAATGATAAGGGGAGGTTCATTATTTTCATTGGGCCCAGGAGACACAGTCATGTTAGCACAAACGAGCTTCGAAAACGCAGGTTTTACAACGATCAATGACTAAGCTGTACAAGGATAAAAGTACTGATGTATTTGAATTATAAATGATTTTAAATGACGCTAAATTGCAAAAATGCTCTTTAAAATTGTGTATATATTGTTTACGAAACGGGTATTTATCTTCAAAGTCATTACTCACCGATTATACAGCAGTTCCTGTTTGTTTGTCGATGTCACATGACAACATTTTGGTTTAAGGCTGTCAGCCAATCAGATGGGAGAATATTGGTTGCCAAGTTGTAATGTTTCCGCGATGTTGTAAAGGTGTATTTTATCGTGGAATTGTTGTTATGGTTTGAGCTGTTCTGGTTAGTATTAAATATAACATATGAATAACGTGTGTTTATTACGCTACACGGTAGTTATTATCTCTAAATGACGGTTTAATGTTTCATTTTGACGAGAGTTAAACATCCTGTCAAATCTGGCAACAACAAAGTGGGCGGAAACTTTTTACTTGATTTATCTGTTTTCAGACCATTTCTCCTTTCATTTCTCTAAGTAATGCATACCAAACACGACATTATGGCTATTTTAAACTTGTAATATTTATTTATAACCTAATGTATACTTTTTTACTGTCGAATTTGGTGCTTGCGACACAGAAATCGACTTTTGCTGCTTGTTAGCTCATGTAGCTTGTCATGTTAGCATACCGTCAGTTTTTGACAACAACAAATAACGTCTGTCACGTTTATATCGATTATTTCAAAGACTGTGAACAACGCCCGAGACGGTATTGAGGAAATTTAAAGTCCAAGATGTCTATGAAGTGCGGGGACTCTGCGTTTACAGGCAGCTACGATGTTGGTTCGTTTCCCAAAAGTTTTGGTTACGGGGCGGAGGAGGGAGACATGGAGGAGAACTGTGCTCCTCCTGACAAACCCAGGATTCTGCTGATGGGACTCAGACGCAGCGGGAAGTCCTCTATACAAAAGGTAGGAAAACAGAAAAAAAAAAAAATTATATCAAAATATTATGAATAATTCTTCTAAAAATATATATGTTTAGGGTTAAAATAATAATAAATTTACCAATTCATGTTGTAGGTTATAATGTCGTGGAATATTTTTTTTTCTAGGTTGTTTTCCATAAAATGTCGCCCAACGAGACCTTGTTCCTGGAGAGCACCAACAAAATCTACAAGGATGACATCTCCAGCAGCTCCTTCGTCAACTTCCAGATCTGGGACTTTCCTGGACAGGTGGATTTCTTCGACCCCACGTTTGACAGCGAGATGATCTTCAAGGGAACCGGAGCTCTGATCTTTGTCATTGACGCCCAGGTAGAAATCAGGAAGTTTTGTTTGTAAAACACTTCCTGCGGAGAGTCCGCTTCACTTCCTGTGTCTTCTGTTGCCAGGACGACTACGTGGAGGCTCTCGGTCGGTTACACCTGACGGTGTCCAGAGCCTACAAAGTCAACCCCGACATCAACTTTGAGGTTTTTATCCATAAAGTAGACGGACTGTCTGACGACCACAAAATAGAAACGCAGAGAGACATCCACCAGAGGGCGAACGATGACCTGGCTGATGCCAACCTGGAGAAGGTTCATCTCAGGTGAGTCTTTTTAACAGCTAAGAAAATAACTTTTTAAGTTTGAGGATATGTTGCCTCAACTCTGCAGCTTCCTCTTCCTTTTTTCCTCCTCAGCTTCTACCTGACCAGCATCTACGACCACTCCATATTTGAGGCCTTCAGTAAAGTCGTCCAGAAGCTGATTCCTCAGTTACCCACATTGGAAAACCTTCTGAACATTTTTATATCGGTTGGTCATAATGTCTCTCCCACTGATGTAAACTCTTAATTTTGATTTGTTTGTTTTATGACAGTTTTTTTTCTGTTTCTCGTTCAGCATTCTGGGATTGAGAAAGCCTTCCTGTTCGACGTGGTCAGTAAGATCTACATCGCCACCGACAGCTCACCCGTGGACATGCAATCGTACGAAATCTGCTGCGACATGATTGACGTGGTCATCGACGTCTCCTGCATTTACGGGTGAGAAAGACTCGTGGTCAAAGATGAAGCAGACATGACTCAGCGACTTCCTTTGGCTAATTATTCAGATTTTCAACTGTGTGTGTGTCAGACTGGTGGAGGACGGCAGCGGCTGTGCTTATGACAAGGAGTCTCTGGCCATCATCAAACTCAACAACACGACAGTTCTGTATCTGAAGGAGGTCACCAAGTTCCTGGCTCTGGTCTGCATCCTCAGAGAGGAGAGCTTCGAGAGGAAAGGTAAGTGTCCTGACCCAGACGAGTCAGGATGGTACATGTAGTGATATCACACAAGGGTGAGTCAAACGGGGGAGAGAGAGAGAGAGGTGACAAGTGTGGTCTACTAAGACTCTAAATGTTGGAGGTGTGGTTTTGGTTCTGAAGGTCCAGTGTTCAGACTGACCTCTGATCCTTCCTCAGGTCTGATCGAGTACAACTTCCACTGCTTCAGAAAAGCCATCCACGAGGTGTTTGAAGTCGGCAACTCAGTCCACAGCGCCCACTGGAGGTCGGCCGACTCGCCCAGCGGCAGCCTGAGTGGATTAAATTACGCCTCCCTGAACGGAAACAACATTTAAAGAGGAGAAAAAAAGGAAAGAAAAAAGAAGAAAAGTGTTACACTTGATGGTTTGGGTTTGAATGAAGTGCAGCTGAGGTCATGATGTAAAGGCACTTGTTTTTGAGCCCTGCAGATGTTGCCTCTGTGTGAACGGACTCAGGAAACAGCTGAAGAACTGGAGACAGAACAAAATGAAAAACAAAAAACGATGCAACAGTCTGGACCGACAAATGAGCCCCTGAGAAGAAGAAGAAGAAAAAGAAGAAGAAAGAAAGAAAGAATGATCTTTTATTCTGTGCACAGAACAGCATGAATTCAGTGAAACAGATTATTTAATATATATATATACAGTATATATATCTATATTTTTTAACAACAGCATGTGTGGCTTCAACACTTTGCTGTCACGATAATGAAAGCTCAAAGTTGACACTACAACCACTACATCTCTTTAGCTCTCCTCCGTAGCATCTAACTGCTAACATTTGACACTTTGTTTCTTTAGCTTCTTTTAACGACACTTCACGCTTCTGTTTGTTATTGTTTTTATGCTGTGAATCCTGACTGTTACAAATCATTTAGAGTTTTATTTTTATTGTGTGCTAAATACTTGATCAATAAAACAACAGTATATTTGGTATTTATTGAGTCCCTGCTGTGACCTTAAATCCAGAAGGTTCTGGGGTCGTGAACCGAAGGAATTGCAAAAAATGTGAGTTAACTTCGTTAGAAAATCCTAGTCTTGCTACAGTTTGTTTATATATAATCGATAAATTCCCCATATAATAATGAAAACATTCACAATAAACCGAAAAAGGTCATTTGATATCCCGGTTTCGACAGTTTACTATTAGTAGTGCATTACTTCGAACAGTAGAGGGCAGCATTTCATCGTGTTACATTTAGCGTATCAAGGCGCGGTGATGCTGGAACAGTAAATCCAACTTTCTCAGTCTTTTTTAATCAAATCCTGCACAAAGAGCCAACAGGTTATTACCAGCTCCTGTAAACAAAGTGAAAATCACCACTTTGGACGTGAAAATTCTTTATTACATCATTCTCCTGTAGTCCACGGCCCACTGTAATGGATGATGGCAGGACGGAGCCGCAACTGAAACCTCTAATCGTCCCCAGAAGCTGCTGCTCCACCGCTGTGGAAAATAGAGCTCAATGAGCAGGAAAATGATCTCTCTGTCTGTCTTTTCTTCTTCTTTTTTACCTTCACTATCCGGCAGTCTGCCTCCAACCACAGAGGGAGAAGAAGAGTTAAGACCATTAGGAACATTCATGAGTTCTACACAGACAGAGGTATGCAATTAATAATATGTAAGTAGTCGAAACAATAAAGCTAAAGTTAGCCCACAATTAGCCCCATGTCATTAATAAATTTGAGGTAAGCCCACAATTAGCCATAAGTAATTGATTAACAACATTAAAGTTAGCCCCTGAATTATCCAAACCTTTTAATATTATCCTTGAATTAGCCAATTGTCAATAGCTTGAAGCTAGTTCAGGACTAGCCAAGATTCAACCATAAAGCTAATCGTTAGCCCTAAAGTTGACATTCGGGGCCGAATACAAGGCAAATAAATGATTTAAAATGATAAGAAAAACTAACAGGAAAACAAAATAATGTAAAAATATCACTAAATAAAATCAAATGTATTTTAAATAACTAAATGTAACTGAGCTGTATCTTTTTATTATTTATATTATAATTGTGTGAAGAAAAACTGCAGTTTCTGAGTGTGTGTCATTACATCAATACAACACGACATACATCAGTGTGTGTGTGTGTGTGTGTGTGATTTAACACACGGACTGGTGACTTTTCCACTCAGACCCTGGTTTCTTTCCACCGTCTCACATTTTCCACTTTTCCTCACAGATAAACGACACCGTGGTTTCTGTTACATCAGCAGCAGCAAAACCTCCAGCTGTGGCTCCACTGTAGCAGGTATTTAACATATTCACCGCTGTCCAACACACACACACACACACACTTTACCTTATTCAGCCTGAAGGTGAGGGAGAGATGGGAGGAGGAGAGGAGGCGGTGTTAGAGAGAGAGGGAGGAGAGAGAGAGGGAGAGAGAGGTTGGTTTTAGCAGTGCAGTCTGCAGGGTCACAGTCAGTGAAGAGTTGTTGTCTGGACTGGATTCCACACAGGCGTAATCATTTGTCATTACTCACAGCAGCAGCAGTGACAACAGCAGCATCAGATCCAGCTGAGATTCTCCTTCTCCAGAACCTTCTCCAGAACCTTCTCCAGAACCTTCTCCAGCTGCTATAGATAAAGCTCCACAGGTCAGTTTTCAATTTCCTGTCTCATAAACTGAACTTCCAGAGTTGGTTTAAAAACAAACAAACAAAAAAAATCTCAGGTCTGAGAATATAAATGAAAAAAGTGACTCATGTGTTTGTCTGCTCAGCGCCGCTCTAAGATTGCCTTCCTCTTTGTTTGAACATGTTGTTCTAATCAGCTGTTGGTCTGATCTGAGGTGTTTGAATGATTGGATTTCCTTTTCCACTGCGATGACTCTGCTCCTGTGTTTGTTCCTATTGTTTGGTTCTGGTCTCGCAGCCTTGTACGATGCCCTCTGGTGTTAGCAAAGTGGATTGGAGCAGACACTGGGGTAAAAAAGCTAAAAGTTGGACAAGAAATAGCTGGAAAAAAGTAGATGAAGTTAAGTGAATACATTAGAACTGTTGGAACACACACACACACACAGGATGCAGCAGAGGAAGATGTTCTTTCTGCAGCAGCAGAGTGGAGGAAACAGAGGATGTTGTTGATGTTGTGGACTGAAGCAGAGTCCAGTCCAGTCCAGGTCTTGGATGGGGTTTTGGGACCGAAACAGAGTCCAGTCCAGTCCAGGTCTTGGATCAATCTAGACCTGGACCGAGTCTAGACTTGTTCAGACTGGGTCCACCAGATTCAGCCTTAAATCTTGACTGGACTTTGTCCCGAGTCCAGACTCAGTCCAGATCCACACCTTAGTTTCTCTCTCTGGATTCACCGACTGTTTTCTAATGATGTCACGTCTGATGATTAACAGGACTCGAACCTCCCACCTTCTCATCTTGTCCTTGTTGTCTTCATTCTTTCCACCACCTTTGCTCTGTGGCTGAAAACATGTCATCATTTTCACTCCTTCTCCTCCCTGAAGAACGAACATCGACATCTGTTTGTTTCACCTTGAAAAGAATTCTGGACTTTTTATAGAAAATAGAGGGTGGAAGAAAGAAAAAAAAGCCGGCCTTTTTTCCCTCCTTCTTCCTCCTGTTCTGACCACAGTCACGTTCCTCTGGAGTGGTTCTGTTGGTGAAGGTCGAGTCTGGAGGAACCAGCACAGACCGGGAGGACGAGGGTTCTTTGTCTCCTGACTCGGTCCAACATCGCTGACTTTTTCCATTTCCTCTTTATTCGGAGCCAGCAGTCTGGAAAGACAGGAAGTGTCAATGGAATTCTGGAAAATAGTTTTACTGAACTTGTCGCATTCGACCACAAAAAGCAGTTTTGATGTCGTAGAATTAAGGTCTGAGCTGAAAGAGGTTTACATTTATTGATTATTTTATTTTATTTTTAAGATCTCGTCTGCTAGCCTCCTAATCTCAACTCAAGTTTTATCGATTTTCTTTTGCATATTTTTAGCTGTTTTTGTGTATTTTTGGGATTGGACTCAAGTACATTTGTACATAAACAAAATCCATTTTTTTTGGTAATGTAACAAAGAGCTCCACCCTGATAAAAACAGCTTTGGACCCAAAGTTAAATAAATCAGTGCTACCTGGGATTTACAATCAAACTCCAAGGATGGGAAATGAATTTTAAAGCAACTCTGAGTCTGAGTTCCTCCGTGTCCTTGATCCCCCCCGCCCCCAGGTTGGAAACCATTGTTTGGATGGTCTTTTTCAAGCTCCTTTTCTGAGTAAAAACAAAATCAGTAGAAGCAGCCGAGGTGAAGCTGCAGCTGCAGACGTCATTGTTTCCCAGAGTAAACAAACAGCCAGACTCAAAGCCAGTCTGCGATTAAAGCAGCGTCTCTGGTTATGTGCGATGATGTCGGAGGAAGAAGCTAATTTTAGTGAACGTGTGAAAAGATCAGTTTAAAAAAAACCCAGATAACTCATTTCTATATTTTCAGGTGTAAAATATGCAGCCAGAATCTGAAGACGTTTGAAAAAATATATATATAAGAAATAGACACAGTTAAAGTAATGTCCAGGAAGTAGATCTGAATTTCTTCCACCAGGGGGCGCCCAGGCAGATTGCAAGAAATACTTTTTCAAGACATATACTTATATTGGATTATTTGATTGTAGTCTTTGGTAAGTTGTACGCTAGCTTTAAAAGAAGCAACTAAGGTGGAGGCGGCCATCTTGTTTTATTTAAAAAATATCTTAAATTTAAAAAAAATCTTTTTACTGCTTTATTCGGCCTATCATAGGGTTAAAAAAAACTTGTCTGGTAAAAAAGCTGTCAATCAAACAACAGTGATTGTGGGCGGGGCTGCTCGCTGTCTTCTCCGCAGACTTAATCCCCGACAGGGCAGTACGTGTTAAATTACAGGATTAAAACTTGGCTTCATCCTAATGACAGATTAGCCGTCAGAGCTAATTAATGATGCCGTTGTATAAATTACCAACCCGCGGTTCAACAACACAATGTGACCCCTGGGTGACCTGAAACCCGCTGATGTCACAGTGCTGCCTCTTCAGCCTCTCAGGATTCTAACAGTCGACTCTTTAATCTAACACCGCCGTGACATGCAGTGTGTGTGTGTTTATTTTGGTTTCTCTTTGTGTTTGTGTGTGTGTGTGTGATTGTAATCAGAGGAAGCCACTCCACACTGAGCCTCTCTGTACGGGGACATGAAAGAGAGCGCAGCCTGCTGACGGTTTTATAAAGAGCAGTTTTGTGTTGATTTATTTTCCTGGTTTCCTGTTACAGTCGGTGACCTCACTGACGCTGTAGTGGAGCGACTGTACTGACGACGAGGCTGTGACAACGTCAATATTCTCTTTCACCTCTGAGGGCTGTGATAGGGTTTTTAGGAAACAGTTTCTGGGGGGAAGGAACCGATGACAAATACTGATACTGTACTGTGTAGAACTACCCTGAGTATCTTATTCAGTACTGACTTGATAAACACTCAGGTGGACCTCCTAAGTGCTGCACTCCCCCTGTTGAAGACCTCTGCTTTCATCACTCTCTATAATATATATATATTATTCCTATGGCAGTGAAGGCATCGCTGGCATCACTCACTGTCGTCCAGCCGTCACTGAAGGCGTGTTGTTGCTTTGGTTCCAAACTCTCTTATAAAAGTGGGAAACTGAAACACAGCAGTGACGTCAGCCTCTGAAAAACACAGGAGTCTGTGTTTTCTGACCTGTAAATTCACATTCTGTAGTCGGAACAGATTTAACACCTACCTTTGCCCCCCCGAGGGGGTGGGGGGGTTTATGATGTGTGACGGCGGCTTTTCATCATGGAAGAGTCTGGTTTGTAAACCTCTCTAACCAACACACACGTCCAAATTCCTCCAACGCGAAAATAAACACCAACACCCTGCAGAGCCCTGATATTTCCCAGAGTTCCTGGCTCTGGTCATAAGAAACTGTCAGGTCGTAGAGAAGTAAAACAACTGCCCCGAGCCACGGAGCCACTGAGCGACGTCAGACTGGAGACCTGCTCGGTAAACCATCCTGTGACCGTTTGGCTGCGACTACAAAGGCCTCCCTGACGAGTGCAGCAGATCAGTCCTTCAGTGGGACAGACGGAGGACATTAGCACTGAGTCCACTGCACACGGTAAATGAGGGATTTAAACGTCTTTGACAGCCGTGCTACTGGAACGAGCTGGTGCTTGAACCGGGGTCAGAACTTGGCACCAGCTCAGGTTACCGTGAATTTTATCATGGAGTGGAAATAAAATTCTTTGGATTTTATCATGGAGTGGAAATAATAAAAAAAAAACAGTAATAATGGCGCCTCCTGATACAAAAAAACAGTAATAATGGCGCCTCCTGTGGCAGCCTGTGTGGGTTGCAGTACCATTACTATGATCTCTCTGCACCGTTAGCAGAGTGAGTTAGCTGAACAGGTTCTCTTCATCTCTCCTGATAACAACAGCATCACTTCCACAGACCTTCTCTCTGCAGCTGTGTTTGTTTCCTCCATCAAATTTTTATATTGGTTTCCAACAGGAAAAGTTTATTTTTTTTAAAAAACAACAGCTGGAGACGACGGGAACACAGAGGTTCACAGATGCTGCGGCTCAGGAAGAGGAACGACAAGCATCAAATCAGGAAGACTGTGACCCGGGAAGGAAACCCATTGTTCTGCTGCTGCAGGCGAGGAAGGATGGGAATAGAACCCGGACACTTTTAGGACGTTTCAGAAAAAGGGAAGTCAGGGGTTTGATTCCCCCCGTCCAGACAGGAATCTGACGGAAAACAGACGTCGGAAGTGAAGATATTCTCAGCGGGGTCTGGTCCACTGCGTGTTGATGGTGACCCCCAGGATGCAGTGGTGTTATCTGCAGGGAGGAGATGTTTGGACGCCGACCTGGGTCATGGTTCAGTGTGGAGGAATAGCTGGAGGAGCGAGGAGGAGCAGCAGAGCTCCTGGTGTCGGCTGCAGGACGTGACTGTTTATATTTCATGTTTATCCGAAATCACTGCATCATCGGTTACAAGACGCTAAACGTTTGATAGCAGCCAGATGTGGGGAATGTAAACTGCCCCGTCCAAGGAGGCTCCTGAGCAGAACACGTCCAAATACTCGGAGGTCGTACACAGAGGGTGAAGCGTGGTACGGTACCTGCAGAACAGCAGCTCCTGGGTCAGAAGGAAACCATTAAACCACTAAAGTTGATGATTTTTTTTAGTTAAATTCTCCTGAAGCTCAGAGGACTTCCCAACAACCTGAACCCATAACGTCCTTCAAACAAGGAACATTTCAAAACCCACGTTTCTTCAGCTGCTGACCTTACCAACATGTCAAACCACAGCAGCCCAGAATAGAGACACCAAGAGGTTTTCGTCCAAAATGGCGTCTCAATTAATTAATTAATAATTAACGATATCCAATTTTTAATTTACAGCGTGTAATGTGCAAGTTTTATAAATAAAGTGCAACTTTTAACATTCAAATTGTGTCGTGGTGGTGCTCTTAAAGGGACAGTACTATTTTTGTTCAAATACGAGTCGAAAAACTTGAGGTGTGAGTTTGTGTATGTTTTATAAGACGGATAAAGGCATTCAAAAAGATATATTTCATATACTCGCTAATGGACCGGGATAAAGGTTTTTTTTTATGGTTTGATTGATTAATTGGTTCTTAAATTTAGTTAAATTGATTTAATTTTGTTTAATTTTGCTCAGCACTGGATGAATATCTTATGACTTATGTTTCAGACAGTAAGAAAAGAACACGTGTCTCAGAACCTGTTGACCTGCAGCACTGATTGTGTTTTATTTACTTCCACCTGAGGCCTGTGGTGTGTCGACTCCTATTGTTTGTGTGTGTGTTCACCTCCCTCACATCATTTCCTTTTGTCGTAACAATACAGCACATGATGCCAGATGGCCTTTGAATTACAATTATGTTCATAATAATAATAATAATAAGACTGTGATCATGATGTTGTTGTTGTCTGTCTGTGAGTCCAGGCTTGTTTCCACCTGTTCTTCTGCGGCTGCTTTGATTCTATTGTTAACATGTTTATGATTTAAAATCCTCTTTTTGTGGTTTATTTCCATTTCTTTTTTTCTTTTCCTGGTCATTTGTTTGACAGTTGTTTGCCTCTCAGCGTCCTTGTGTTTAATCTTTTGCTTTCAGAGACTTGGCAGATGATTATCTTGGGTCATTATCTCCTTATTGATTGATTAGTTCTTGTTAACGTCCATGGGACATCCATCTTTCCTCCCTCACTCACTTTAGTGACAGCGTAATGAGCTACAGCAGGGATTCAGATCAGGTCATGTCAACAGATGGTTATAAATGATGACGAATGGTGTTTTTTTTTTTTACCTCAGCTGTAGTATTTGGAGCATAACTGTCCAACCCTGCAATTTAAAGAGTACCTCTGATCCACCAGGACTGTTGAGAAAGTACTGAATCTGGCAACAGTTTTTGAACAATACCCAACTTTGATGTCTGATTACAGTAAACACAATGAAATGTGGTGTTTTTTGTTATTTTTCTATTAGACAGTATTAGTACTACAAAAGAAGTACACGAGATCAGAGTTGTATTGTCCTTCAAAAAGCCCTGGAGAGAGCGTCTGTGGGCGAGGCGTCTGTGTCACCTCATATTGTTCTGTTGCTCTCTGTCAACACTAGAGGGCCGCGGGGGGTTTCGTAGAAGAATGGGTGGGAGGGGCGGCAGACGCCGAGGCCGTTGGCGTGAAACTGGAAACGTTGGTTTTCTGTAGTGAATCAATGTAAACTGTGACATCATCTAGTCAGGTCTGAAATTTGGACCAGATGACGTCGTTTCACGGTGTAATTAAGTGACTTCCTTGTTAATGAAGAGATTGTGTTTTTATAACGAGGAACACATGGCTGAGGCTTTGATTTATTTACTTAAGGACTGGAGGATATTTCATAATGAGTACATCATGGTGATGACAGAAGCCATTAAAATCACCTGAGGTTTGAAATCAAAATTTCAAAGTTTGTTTCTAATATTCCACAATCTGACCTACATTGTGACACCTACCTTTAACATACCCCTGCATGAGTATGCTACTTTTTCCTGTCCATTTTCTCAGAGGTGTGGAACATCTTCACACAGATCCAGGATCTTTGTACCTGCTGTGTAAAAACCTCTTTGGTGCCGTTAAAATAAAATATTTCCTCTGTTTTTCTGTTTCCCCCCTCACCTGCTCTCTGGTCCTCTGGTCCACTCAGGAAAAGGTTGGTCCATGAGCGACCGCTTCGACTGCAGAAACTGTAACGAGTCCCTGTACGGACGCAAGTACATCCAGGTGGAGGAGAAACCTCACTGCATCCCCTGCTACGACCGCCTGTACGCCAACACCTGCCAGGAATGTAAGGAGATCATTGGCCACAACGCCAAGGTGAGAACAGAGCAGTGATGTGTTTGTCTGCTCACACCTCAACACCAGTGATTAATCAGATGAATTCATTGTAATTAGTCGTATTTAATCATGATTAATTGAGCTAAATGAACAATCTTCACATCGCAGACAACAGCTGTTAGTTTTTAGCTTGTTGGTCAGGAGATAAATATATATATAATCTTTAACACGGCGGTTCTGTACTGGTTTAGAGCTGAATTTCAGCCAGTGTTGTTTACTAAAACATGACGGCGGTGGACGAAGACGTCTGCTGACAGACTACTGCAGATTGGACAGGATTCTTTAGTCTGACGATTATAGTACAAAAATACTTTGACTGTGTAGGTTTGCTATTTTTACTCCCCCGACCTCCGCCCCTCCCACACCCACACCCTCCCCCCACCTCACCCCCTCCACTGTGTCACAGCAGCTGGTTTTCCTGTAAAAACATCAGAACATGAAAATGTGTCCGTAATCTCTCTTTATCTTCCCCAAACGCCTCAGTGAGTGAGAATGAACAACACTCACAGACGCCATGTGGCCTTCAGGGTCCTGTGAATTATAGACTCGGAGCGAGGGAGTGGCAGTAAATTACTCGCTGCCGCTTTTGGCTGTGGCCGCCCCGGCGCTTGTCCTTCGTCTTTCCTCATCCCTCGGATTTTCTCTTGGGTTTTTTTTTTTCTTTTTTTTTTTTCTTAATGGAAGTTCATTCCTCAAACAGGAGTTTTTCAGCCTCCGTTTGAACGAAGGCCATTCGTCTCAGCGCTGAATGGAAACATAAGCAGCTCTTAGAGAGAAGAATCACAAACCAGCCTTACTCCGACTTCTAGGAAAATATTGGACGGACTTTTTTTGGCCAGCGGAGGCAGCAGGGTGTCGTAGAAACGACAACGTGGAACATTTTGGGTTCAGCCCTCCCACTGTGTGCACATGTCCAGAACACTGAAGTGTTTTTGTGTGGGAAAGTGAGTGCTGTGGGTGACCGTGACCTCAGAGTGGACGGAGGACACAGAAGAAGAAGAAGATGATGATGATGATGATGAGTCATGCTGGGATCAGGGGTTTCCAGCATCAGTCTCACACTGAAATATCATGTTCATGACTTCAAACTTTTGATGGTGGGAGAGTGGTCAGTGCTCCTACCTTACAGCTTGGTCAGGGGTTTGATCCCAGCAGTAACTGATTCTTTTTCTATTTCATCTGTTTGTTCTGGGCTTTTCTTCAAGTAATTTAAATTGAAAAACATACAGGACTGGGTTATTTATTTACACTAGACTGACCACAGGTGTGAATGTTAGTGTGAATCTGGAGAACCAGTGATTTAGCTCCACCCTTCCCTCTCCTCTCCTGACCATGAACAAACAAACACCATGAGTTTTTATGTGATCGAACCCTGACCGTGGTTCCACTCTCTCTGATTTCCCTCTTCCAGGAACTGTTCTACGAGAACAGGCATTACCACGAGCACTGCTTCCGCTGTTTCCGCTGCGACCGCTCCCTGGCGGACGAGTCCTTCACCATCCAGGGCGACGCTCTGGGCCGCAGCGAGGGCTTCTGCAACGAGTTCTCCTCCAAGTGCGTGGCCTGTGACAAGACGGTGATGCCAGGTAACAGCAAGAGCAGGGGTTCTCAATCGCCGGGCTGGGAACCGGTTCTGAACCACACTGAAAGAGGCTAATGCTTGTTAGCTTTGTGCTAATTTCTGGTGACTTTTTGGTGCAGCATGTTTGGCTCGACGTCCTGTGATTTTTAAAAGGACGAATTTACACATACATTTTTTCCATCTTGTATTGTGAGACCTGTTTTCCGGCCTGTTGGCAGCAGCACAGTTCTGGTGGAGCTGGGTGTGACGGCTCTGAAGTGACAGACCAATCACGACCTCCAGCTCTGTGGTACAAACTCATCCCAGCAGAGCAGATTTTCCGGCTGCCGTGACGACACCGGTGCAGCAGCGTCGTCGCGTCCACGGTGTCAGATGACTGTGAATTGCCCCAGGGGCTTGTGGGTGCTGTGGGATTATTTTAACTGGCTGCTCTGAGCAGTGAGCGGTCGCTCCTCTCCAGTTCCTGCTCAGCCTGGAATGCCCTTTAAAGCTGCTTCCTCCTCCACCTCCTCCTTCACCTCCTCCTCCACTCCTTTTCTTAGGAGCGCAGCCAAGTTCAAGTTCAAAACACCCGTTGTTCTGCTCTCCTCAGTCCCGGTCCCAAAAGTTGTAAAAGAAAACCAGGGATTAAAAGATCTGACGTATCGTTTTCTTTCTTCGGCCTGACTGAGTTTCAGCAGTGAAGCCTGTGGTTTTTGTCCTTTACAGGAAAACGATTTCTTTGACTTGATATGAGCTGAAGTCACTGGACCGTGGACTTAAACACCGGTTCATTTTTCATTTCCTAAAACCCTCTCCTTGACTCTTTGTCCCCTTGTCTCCTTTCCTCCAGGATCCAGGATGTTGGAATACGGCGAGTCCACGTGGCACGAGGACTGCTTCGTCTGTCACGGCTGTGAGAAGCCCATCGGCGCCGAGGCGTTCATCCCGGACAAGAACAACTACTACTGCGTTCCCTGCTACGAGGGCAGGTTCGCTCCTCAGTGCAGCCACTGCAAAAAGGTGAAGTGAAACAAGCTCCATTTTGTTCACTAACCTGGTAGTAGCAATTTGGTAGTAGTAATTACTGAGATTGGCCACAAGAGGAGCTGTTTTACAGTTTTTAATTCAAGAAGCTGTTTTAGTTTTTAATTAAAGACAATTGGTGTACAATTTTTTTTTATTTTTTTTTTTTTAGGCTCTGACCAAGGGCGGCGTCACCTACAAGGACAAAGTGTGGCACAAAGAGTGTTTCTTCTGCTCAGGCTGTCAAACGTCTCTGGCCGGTCAGTCCTTCACCTCACAGGGAGAAAGTCCGTACTGTGTCAAATGCTTCAGCAGCCTCTACGCCAAGAAGTGCGCCGGCTGTAACACGGCCATCACAGGTCAGTGGACGCATTCCGTCCTGGACACGTCGTTGACAGATGAGTTCGCATACGAGCGACGATGTACGACTGTCAGTGTGGTGGAAGTCACAACATGTTTGTCCAAGCAACAGGGCTAACACAGGCTAACCTTTAGCTTCATGTGTACTAACTTAAAATTATTTTTTGTTAGATTTAGCTATGGTTTAGTTAATATTTAGCTAATTTTTTTGTTTACTTGTAGCCTTTGTTGCTTGTGTTAATACTTTAGCTACTTACATCTAGGCTAACTTTAAGTACACTTTGTAAATTTTAGCCTTTTAGCTTTTTTTGTGTGTGTTTTTAACCTATTAACCTTTAGCTACATTTTCAATCTCAGATTTCAATCTTTTAACCTATTAACCTTTGGCTACATTTTCAATCTCAGATTTCAATCTGTGGCTGATTTCTATCCTGGCGCTGGTTATTTATGTCTATCTGTTACCTTCACCTCATTACCTAAGTATTTACCAAGCTGGAAACTTAATTAACTTATCATAAACACATCAGCTCTTTCTCTCTGACTTTGCTGCTTGTTTTCACCGCAGGATTCTGATGTGATTGAGTCCAAAAACCTGAAAACAAATTTAGCAGAAACAGTTCTAGGTTTACGGTTCTACGGTTCCGGTGACTCACTGTTTTAATGCCAACTGCAGAGATCGTCTGGAATTCATTCATCATTTCCTGAGTGTTTGTGAGGCTGTTATTAAACTCCGTGTTAGGACATTCCTTCACCAGTCGTTCATACGCTGCACGTGTCTCTGTCTCAGGGTTCGGGGATGGAAAGTACGTCTCCTTCGAGGAGCGGCAGTGGCACCAGCCCTGCTTCAAGTGCTCCCGCTGCTCCGTGTCGCTGGTGGGCTCCGGCTTCTTCCCGGACCGTGACCTGATCCTGTGTACAGACTGCAACAGCGACGAGTGACTGAGCGTCGAACACTGACCGCTGAAGAGAGCAGCAGGAAAACTCCGGAACCTCGGCTGTTTGCACATGAACGCTGCCGTTGACTCCAGGCTCAGTATTCTCTCCTCCAATCACAGCTCAGCACCGTGAGACCTTTGAATAAAAAACCAAACACACACTCGTCACCGCCGTCTGAACGCTGATGTGTGTGTTTGTAAAGTTCCTCTTCTTTTCCCTCTTTTCTCACTGTTGTCATGTTGTGTCAAAACTTTGTAACTTTTTATTCACTTTCACTGTTGTACATGTGATAATAATAAAAAAAGTTAATGAAACCTAACCAGTCCAGTCGTTCATTTATGGAACTGAAAAAAAAGTGATGTTTTGTGGCTGTTATCACTGGGATTTGAACCGGCAACCCTTTCATCAGAACCCCCTCCTGATTTGAACTGGCAACCCTTTCATCAGAACCCCCTCCTCTGGCCTTGGCTTCTTTAACTATTTGGGTTGAACTTCTGGTCTAATTTGTTTTTTGTTCCTTGGCTTCTTTAACTATTTTGGTTGAACTTCTGGTCTAATTTGTTTTTATCTCTTGTCTAATTCTTTGGCGATGTTTTGGCTGCTGGGTCTTTAGCTTGTTGTTAATGATCGACTGTTATCTTTTTGGCTGTTCCTCGACTGTTTTTTTTTTTTTTTTTTTTTTTGCTTGGTGTAAACTGTACAACATTTTGTTGTAGAGTTTAAAGCTCTGTTGTTTCTTCCTCTCGCCTCACGTCGACCTCCGTCCACCGACACCCTCCCAGGGTCGGCTGGAGGCTGCGGCTCCGACCGGTCGACACCACGCTGACTCAGACACAAGTCACACTTAGAAATGTTCAACATCTCCGGCGACGTAATGAGATCTGGCCAGAAACTCCTACAACAATACATTCCACACATTTGTCCGCAGGCTGTGAGGGATGAGTCGTATCAGTGTGTGTGTGTGTGTGTGTGTGTGTTACCCTGCCGCACAACAAATCATCGCCTCATTTCCTGTTGCTCTCTGGAAATCAGCAGTAAATAATTGACCGAGGCAAAGATTAAATTAACAAATTTGTTGTCGACCAACAGCAGGAACCTGGAGACTGGATTAGTGACTCAGCAGGATGAAATCACCCTTTAATGACGGACTGTCCAGGATCTGGCAGCTGGACCAGACCCTGTCCACCCTGAAAAACTCCTCAGTCCTCGGGGTTCTTCAACCCGGCTCTGGGGGGAATCTGCATCAACTGAAACCCGACCCCGGCCCAGAGTGGGTCTTATTTTTGTGTTTATTTGTTGTAACAATGCTCTGCTTCATGCCTCATGTTGAGCCACGCTGAAGTTGTTCAGATTCTGGCAACGACTTCACAACATGTGGCCTCGTTCTGGGCTCTCTGACCATGTGGTGCTGTTTCCATAATTAAGACTAATAACGGGGCAGTGTTGTATCTATAGAAATACATACATATATATTTAGATATATATTTGGATATATATTTATATATATTTCTGTGTATATAGAAATGTATATAAATAGTATTAGCATGTATGTGAATAAATATATACAAAAATATACATATATTTATATATATTTCTGTGTATATAGAAATGTATATAAATAGTATTAGTATGTATGTGAATAAATATATATTTATATACATACATATGTATTTGTGTATATAAATATATACAAATATATATATACACACAAATATACGTACATATATATACAGTACATGCACATAAAATGCAAAGAACAGATGTATTTTGAGGAAAGCTAAGAGAATATATTGGTGCGTAAGAAGCTTCTCAGGTTGCGTACTACGCGAGTGTGTGTTGGTCGTGAGAAATTGCCCCCATCACTCAAACCGTACGACGGGGCAAATCCAGCGGAGACCAAACTGTGTCCAGCTGTTCACGGCGCAAACGTAAATCTGTGATGTCACAGCGAGCAGTCATGTGACTGAGGACAGCAGGGAATGATGAGGCGTGTGTGCGTGTCTCCTCCTGTGTCAGTCACATGGTCTGATGACTTCACTGCTTCGACCACAGTGAAACCAGATGCTTAGAAACAAACGGCTGTTGTTTCTGTAACAAACATTAAAAAATGAAATATCATTTGATGTCAATCAAACTTCTAAACCTTTGCTGAAATGATAAACAAAGCATCGGAGCGGAGCTGTCCCTGGATGACTGCTGTGGATTTACACAGACGTTATTATGAGTTACATGTGATTTTTAACTCAGTATTTCCTGTTAGTCCTTGATGCAGCCGTGACTCTTGGTGAAGTGGAGGTGGGTCAGCGCCCACCATGTTGAAACAACCTCGTGTTGCTCCAACTTCAAGGCCTCCGAGGAACGTTTCCAACATCTGGTTGAACCAAGTCAGTAAAGTACATGAGTCGTTCTGAGTGGCGTGGAGGCGGAGCCTAAGTTCTGCTGTACCCAATGAAATGAGCACTTACTGACTCAACATGAAATCTTCAATATTCACTGACGACCTTCACCTTGGTCCTTCATCCTCCTCCTCCTCCTCTTCATCCTCTTCATCCTCCTGGGACCAAACATCTCTGCCCTCCATCTAACATCCCCTCAGACGGGGTCAAGCATATTCCAGGCAGAGTCATGGGAACAGCTCAAACAAATAACATCACCACACGGACACGGGCCCCCCCCCCTCCTCCCCCCCCCCGCCCCCCCTCCCTCTCCCACTCCCCTCTTTATTTTTCATCTGGAGCTGATCTGGGAGATCGAGCTGTGGCAGCCGGCTCGGGGGAGCAGGCGTGCTGCAGCCGGTCAGCCACACCAACGCCGCCTCATAAATGATGATCAAAAGCAGGAAGTGGCCGCGGCGGAACGGTCAGTGTGTTATAAGAGGACGGTTAAATGTCCCCAGTTTGTGAGGCAGCGCCACAGTGAGGCCCACGGTGAGAAGACGCCTGTCAGCAGTGGTACCTTTTTCATTCCGTTTAAATCCATTTGTGAACCGCCTGGAGCTGCAGACGTGGACGTCTGTCGTTCCTGAGCGGCTGCACCAGAACTTCTCAGCCCATTGTTGCTCAGAACGCACAGATAGAACTGTTTGTTCTCTGCGATCTGCGGCTCCCTGACGTGGACACTGGCCTGGCACGGCCTCCGTGTAAACACAATCAGAACAGATCGGTGCAGAGGTTCTGAACTGTAAATATTTACGCCGACCTTGTAACTTAATAATGAGGCAGAGTCTTCATGGATCAAGTCTTCAAGAAAAACACAAAACAAAAAAAAAACAATAATGTGGAATGAATCAGGAAGAGGACGTCAACATTTAACCAAAGGAGGATGATGAAGATAACAACAATGGTAACCATTTATGACGTCTCAACATTTACCACGGAATCTAATTAAATCACCAAACCTCACGGTGTCACAGAAACAAACGGTCGTAGATCATCAAGTCATCGATTCATTTCCACTTCCTGTTTGGACAAAACTCCAAAACGTAACAGCATAACGTGACATCACCAACCACCGGAGGATAATCCTGGAACTGCAACAGTCCACAGAACACGTTTTTACTCTGCTGAATAAAGGATATTGCAGTACAGTACACTGGATGAGTTCTGTGTTTGAGCAGCTGTAGCTACTCAGTGAAACACCACCACAAACAGGAGGAATCATTGTTTCAGCCGCATTAGCATATCTGCCAAACCTCTGAACAGTCCCTTTGATACTTGTTAAGATATTTGAACAAATAACCCTCTGGGGATCGGCAGCGTGTCCTGCCGCTGCACCACGGCCTGGAAGAATTCAATCCCCCGGCCAGAGAAAAGAGAGGGAGTAGTAAAAAAAAAGAAAAAATCTCTGTGTCATTCATTCCAGATGAAATGTGACTGTGGGATGAACTGGTGGTGGAGCATGGAACGGAGGAATGTTATTTCCAGAAATGGACTCTGGATTTCTCCGTCAGTCTCTTCATCATGTCTGTTTGTCAGACGGGACGGGACGGGACGGGACGCTGTGTCTCCACGTCTCCCCATGTGGTGGCGGTGGTGATGCCGGTGCAGGCCAGTTGTGACTCACGGGCAAGTCACTGCAACATTGAAGTACTTCAGCATATGTACAGTAGGGGGAGGCAGGGTGGGAGTGGGGGGGTAGTATAGTCTAAAGCATGTGCTGATCTGACAGGGGCTAAAGGAGAAAACAGTACTGCTAATTTACTATAACGACGTTTGGACTTTTGTTCACAGCCTTTTTATTTCAGTGTCTAATAAAACGTTCACAGCTCCTTCCAAACATTCCAGTAAAACCCTGTCTGAAGCAGCCGTTGCTGCTCGTTCATAAACCCCGACATAAAACCTCTGTTCGCTGCCAATAAACTATAGAGATGATGTCATGAGCCACATAAATGTTCTGGTCTTATATATAGATTTATTGGTCTTAAGGAGAACTCCCAGGGGCTTCGACGACATTCCATTCACACCCATCCACACACACGTTATTACTGCACAACTATGTGCTGCACGCCTCCTCCTCCTCCTCCTCCTCCTCCTCCTCCTCCTCCAGTCCAGCCTTTTGTCTTATAGACAGAACCAAACATCATAGCAGGTCTCACTACTGTTCAACCTCCAGAACTGAGGTGTTGAAGTCTCTTATTCACCCCCTGCTGCCGTGTCCTGACCTCTTACCTGCGGCAGAACATCATTCCCGACCTCATCCACCTACATCATCTTCAGACCTCCCGCCCTCATCCACCTACATCATCTTCAGACCCTCAGGAACCTTCTTCTTCTGACGTCCTCCACCTGAGGACAGGATTCGCTCACTCCGTTCCTCCCTGGTCTCCTCTCCTTGACCTTTCCACGGTGTTTCGTTGCAGCAGTTCCCACGCTGGACTTCAGTCCGTTTGACATCTGCGTGCCTTATTGTTTGAAAGCCTCAGGAAAGTCCAAAACAAATCCCTCCTTCAGACTCCGGTCTCTGTGAGACTCTGCTGCTGAGTCTGTCCGTTTGTTCTTGATCCTGGTTTCATTATTGCATTTTTATGAGATCAAAATGTGGGAGAGTGAATGAATACGGCCTCAAGTGTGAACGTGTTGACCTGTTTCTGATGCCACCTAGTGGACAGATGCGTTACTGCAGTAAGTCTCTTCACTTCAGGAAACTGCTGTTGTGGCAGTCATTTGTTAGTCAAATAATCACAACTTTCTAAGTGTTTAAACAATCTGTTTTCTTAAAAGCGATTAATGTTTGTAAGTGTTGGACTGACAAAAACCAGACCAGAGTGTGGTCTCTCTCTTGGTGTGCGTGTGTGTGAGTGTGTGTAGCTGCAGCCTGTCATCATCGTGTTCCTACTCCAGCTCCTATTTCCATAAAGTAAACCATGAACTGTCAGTGGAAAAATGTGCTGGCTGTTCTCTTTAGTAGCTGCACAAACATTGATAATGTCGGGATGGAAGGGAAACGGTTCCATGCTGTGATTATTTTAATGTATGGTATGTGTGGGAACGTCTAATTGTGACCTTGAAAAAGACGACCAGAATAGATTCATGGTACTGGGTGAGTCTTTTTTTTATTTTTTTTGCAAAAACAAAACATGTCGAAAGAATTTGCGATACTTAGTTTTTTTTTTACAGCTATTTGATGCTATTTCACAGACAAAAAAAAAAAATCTTACAATGAAAAACATCAATAAATAGTCCTTTTTTAAACACTATACAAAATGGTTTGTTCCTGGAGGAGTCGTCCAGTCTGTCCTCCACAAACCTCTCTCTGGTTTATCTGCTTTTACTGGTGGTGGTGGTCGGGGAAGGAATGTTACAAGCAACAGCAAATGGCCACGTATGACAGAATTTTGTTTTTAAAAAATGATGACAAAAAAGTTAAAGGCGTACAAAATTCACAAAGTCCAGAAATGTTGTGTTTCTCTACATACATCCTCGTGTTCAGGGCTTTTATTCCAGTTGTCAGTTTCAAGTGGAGTAATCCTGAAAGAGGAAGAACATGAGGAATTGAAAAATAATTCATTTACTGTGATTATAAGAAATTGTTTTTGAAAAGGAGTTAGCTACATCTCATGTGTAACACTGAGAGGTCATGATAATTCTACAGATGAAATAAGAAAGTTTTACTCACAGCTCGTGGTTTCTTGTTCACTTTCATGTCGAACCTAGAACAGGAAAAAATAACAGACTGAGTTAGAGAAGCCGACAGTGTTCGTGTCCGACAGGTGTTTATGGTCTAGGAAAAAAAAAAAAAAAGCAGTGCAGCTACTGTTCCATGAAAAAGTCTAAAACAAAACCAAGCCTAGAACAAGAACGCTAAATGACAATGTGTGTGTTCTTGTCTTCGTGCACAAGTCTACAGCCAAACCCGTTATCTGACAAAAAAATAACCAACAACGGGTCAAACAAACTCAACATGAATCTGTGGTCAGGAGAGAAAACAACATGAAGACAGCCCAGTCAGGACAGGCAGACGAGTTCACAGAGACGGACGCTGATATGCAGTCAAAATGATAGGATGGAGTGTTAGACATGCAGTACAGCTGAATGACCTGCAGGCTTCCACTATTAAACGCACAACAAAAGCAGAGCAGGTGGAGAAAGTGGAGGATGAGATTTTTTATTATATAAACAGCAGGCAGGATGTAAAGAGCTACAGGAACAGGAAGTAAAAGTCAGACTTACTCAAAGTCATAATCAAACATGGCAGAAGGGCTGAAGGGACGAGAGAGGGGTGGGGCGGGGGAGGCATTAGGAGGGGGAGGAAGAGAGCAGCTTCTGTTAGTTCCAGTTACCAACCTCGGTCAAGGCTACATCTACTGTATGTAACCCTGCAGTTCAGAGTTTACAGTGAGGGAAAAAACATTCTTTACAGACGGTTAGGTGTCGGATTAATACAGGATTAGAAAATGTTAGAGTTAGGACCCACTTTGTTCCAGTTCCTTTTCCCCCCAAAACTGATTCTTTTGCATAAATAGGATTTTTAACAAGCAGTCATGACATTTTTCATCCTGAACTTAACAGCGGTTTGCTTGTTCCGCAAAGTGATAAACTCAAGTTTTCATCCTTGTGTCAAGTGACCTGTTGAACAGACGGTCTTCAAACTGACACTTGGGCAATTTATCAATTGAACGACGCATAAAAGAACTAAAATTGGTCAACGTTTAATTGAAAACACTGTTGTCCAGTTGTCTGAAAAACAGCCGACAGGAAAGACGCACGTGTTTACTCAAAAAGAATGTTTTCATAAAAAGCCCTGACACTTTGATTCACACCGCTGTAAGAAAGTGTGTGAATTAGGAGCTGAATCCTACAAACCCATGAAGCAGTCAAAACAAACATGTCAGAGTTATAGCTGCTGGATTTTATACCTGTGTCTGTTTTTGTTCTTCCGTTTTTTGTGGCTGGCGTGGTGACTGCCCGAGGAGGAGGAGGAGGAGGCCGCCTTCTGGGGTTTCAGGTCCTGCAGCGTGGAGTCCACGTCCTCGGTGTCCTCTTGGCTGGGCTCGTTCTCTTGGTTCTGGAGATCTGGGGAAGTGTCGCTCTCTGTTCCACTGCCGGCTTCACCTGATGAGCACAGCCATGAACCGTGAGAACAACAGCGGAAAAAAAAGGAAGATTACACATTACAAATCTGATATTTAATTTATACATGTATGATGTGTTTTCTTAGTCCTGGAAACCAATCAAAACATTTCTTACTTCAAGTATAAGAAATGTAAGAAAACGACTTACGTTTCTCATTCATGTGATCTGGGATTCCACCGAGTGCAGATATAGCCTGTCAGGGAAAAAAAATTGGAAGGATAATTATTTCTGAAAAAAGAAAGAAAAAAAAGAAACTGAAGTTAGTGAGAGACTTACTCCAACTGACGTAACGGACGATTTGCTGAATAAACGCTCAGCTTCCTTGAATTTCCTATTCCGTCTGTCCGTTTTACTGTTGGAGTTCCTGTGTGAAATGAAAGCACGAAAAGACTTAATTTATACACCAATAAAAACTTCCAAAACCAAATCACAAGGAACTGAAGAAGAAGAAAAAAAAACAACATTTTAAAATCACTCACTTCTGGTTGGTCAGGTATCGGTCCCACCCTCTGATGATGTTGCCGTACATCTGAGTATCTTCTAGGTAGCTGCCTTCAAAGGCGTATATTTGTCTTTCCAAGTTCACCAGTGTCTCCTACAGAGATGGAGAGGAAAGAATCCAAAGAGTGAAGATATAAAACTGTCAGCTGTTTCTTTTCCAGTTCAACAAACATTCAGGTCATTGTGGAAACCATGTGTTTTTTTCTTCTACATAGTAATTATTTATTGGAGTTTGGAAACACACAAGGTCATTTAAAAACACTTAAATCCCTGTAATGGTATTTACAGAAAGTTTCTTGTTGAGAAAGACAACTTCCTACGGTCATTGTTGGCCGCAATTGTCAACTTGTGCACAGCACATTTTCCCATGGATTGTCCAAACTGTCATGACTAAATATAAGAAATTAGATTGAAAATGTTGGTGGATGAACTTCACCCCTTAACAGCTTCTTTAAGATGATATAATTCACAAGAGTGAACACACAATCACAGACAATGTTACAGTAGTTCTACAGGAGAAGGATTTTGTTTATTTCAAGTTTAGTAATACCATTTAAGTTACATTTACATTTAGTAAGTGGTATTTAACAATAAAAAGTTACGACATAATTATACCATTCGGGGAGAAAAAAAATCAACAAAAGTCTGTGGCAATCGCATTGGAAAAATCGATTGATTCGTTTTTGGTGTTCGATGCATGTTGAAACGATTAAGTGAGGTTGAAGTGAAATCTCGCGACAACATCGATGAACCTGGCGGTAGCGCCCATTTAGCTGCTGCTGTGTAGCTAACACAGAATAAAAAAAACGTTTTAACACAATGTCTGAGCAATGTCCGAGTTTAAGTATACACACGTTGATAAATATCAAGGTAATGTTTTTATTTTATTCCGTAACGAACTGTGGTGTAGCAAGTTTGCGAGCGTTAACATTAGCAACTGTTAGCGCCGCAAAATTAGCACTTAGCATGTTGGCGGCTAGCGGTGAGAACAGCGAGCACACACTTAAATTACAGGTATTTACAAAATGAGACGCCATATCAAACGGTCCGTTGTTTTCATTGGGAGATTACGTCCAAAAATGTACTCACGGCGAGCTCCTGTTTCCTCTTCACCAATTCAGCAAGCTCCCGGCGGGTGTCCGGGATCTGCGGCGGGGTTGACTTCGCGTGCATCGCCATGATGGCTATAGCGCTGCAGAAACAAAAACAGCAACGATGGAGATTGGTATATAAGAATTCCAGCTGCAAGCTTTCGAATTGACCAGTAGAGGTCGCCGTTGGACTGTTTTACGAAATGTAGGTTTCACTCAAGTTGCCATGTTATAGAAATAGCAGTAATTTTAGTTTTTCATAATGATTTTATTCTTTTATAGCTACGATTTGACATTTATGTAATTATATAATAGTTTTTCTTCTTTTTTAAATAACATTTTAAAATACACAAGTTCAACCTAGTTCACGTTTTGTAGCTCTTTTACAAACTGAATTTCATGCAAAGCAGCAACAGCAAAAACCAGACACCGATCCATGCTTATTCATATATATCTAACATATGTTATGTTTCTTATTTAAAAAAATCAGTCATATGGTTTTTGCTTTATCACAGTTGTCAATGCCCCAAACTGGCAACCCTTACATCTTGTCAGACTGTTTTCATGTCTCCATGACATCATTTGTTGTCTTTTAAAACTCGCAGTAACTTTGACTTATTAGCCAAGCTAAACAAGTAGCTGCATTTTACTGAATAATAAATCTGTTATTTAAATAAATGTAGATGTTTGCAAACACATGTTGACTTTATTTTATCGATTGATTTCTTCATGGTCCATGAAAAGGACACACTTCAAAGAATGGAGACAACAAACCAAGAGAAGAAATGGTTGACATGTCAAGCTAAAAGATTCTCATCAGAAGATTCTCCGGTAGGACATTAGAAAATGTGTATTCTTTTAATAAAAATATAATTTAAAAAAATATGTTTTTGGTTTTAGAATGGAAACCTAAATATATATATATATGTTTTTGGTTTTAGAATGGAAACCCAGGACCAGGCAGCTATAACTTTACTACTTCTGCTGAAGTCATGAGTCCTTCTTTCTCCAAGAAAGGCACCACAGGCTTTGTTGCGTCCAAGGTGAGAAGATGTTTTTCATGATACCTCGGTTTTAACATGGCTGTAATGTCAAACAGATGTGTTATATTTTCCTCTCTAGGCTTTCAAGGGCTACTTTAACCCACAGAGATCTGTCCCAGCACCAAACCTGTACAACCTGCAGAGCTCTTTCATTAACAAGTATGACTTCAACATTGGAACGTCCAGGGTCTTCAGAATGCCCGTGGTTTGGCAGCGAGCAGGTCCAAAGAATGAAGGTCCAGCACCAAATCAGTACGACGTACGTGTCAGACTCGTTCAAGTCCATCCTTAAAGACTCACGTTCGTTGTGTTCTGTTGTTGACGTGTACTTTGTTGTGTTTCTCCTTCTTCCCTCAGGTGAGCTGTGGTTTCACACAGATGAACTCCTCTCTCTTTGGTACCTCAGCGTTTCTCTCCAAACCTGGGTGGAGCTCCTTTTGTCCAAACACAGACGTGCCATCACCGTGTAACCACCTCAGTCTGAGCAGGAAATATCCACTGTTTTTAAGGTGTTGTTTTTAAAATGACACGATGAATGTATTTCAGGCCACTACCACGTTAGGAACCATTCCATTCAGACTGGATCCACAGCCGTTCTGTCCCCGTTCAAATCCACATCCAGGAGGATTCCTGCTCTGGTGGACCATCATGTCCCTGGTCCAGGAGCCTACAGTCCACATCAGGCTCCCACAGCAGTGAAGAAGACCACTCTCCCGTGAGTCAACAGCCAATCACATCGTGTGGTCACTTGATTTTTCTCTAATTGTGTAAAACTGTGTTTTAAGGAGGACTTTTGGTTTGACAATAGCAGAGTCCGCTGTGGTCCTACCTAAAGGTCCACCTTTTCCAGGCCCTGGACATTATAATGTCGGGACATGTTATAGCGTGTCCAACTGTCCCATACCTACTGCTGCTTTTGCATCCAAAACTGCAAGATCCATAAAATTATCACAAGAGGAGGTGAAGCCAGGACCAGGTAATTCCCAATGAAACAAAATCATTTTCACCCTTTTCTTCATTTCTTTAGAAACTTTTATGTTTCGAAAAGTCTCTAACGTTAAGAGCCAAATGATCAGAACTACCCACTGTACGTTTTCATGACCTGGAGGTATTAAAAAAAGGTAAATTCCCCAGACCTTTGAGAGATCAGAAAGAATTAAACAGGAATTCCCCCGACTTCTGTGGTTTCAGTGAGACACCAGGCATTAATCTCTCTCTTTGCCTGAAGCTGTAGACAACAGTGGCTCCCCCTGCAGGTGAAAGCTGCCATGCCATCAACAGTCATTTATTATGATTTCCTTTTTAGCTTGACTTCCTGAACCGTAAAATGCCTCTGTGCCTGCGCAAATAAAGAAAATTAAATATGACAAGGTGGTACTATGTACAAACAAGTACTACAACGAGTACTTCATGGGAGAGCACTTGGATAAATAATGTAACGGCTTCTCAACTTTCTTCTTCCAGGTTTTTACAATCCTCGAGTTTTAACGAAGTCGTCGTTCATTTATAACGACTCCAGATTCTGGGTTCCTGTGTGAAGATGTGACAAGAATCCACGCTCTGGCACGAGAGTTTTGTTCTTATTAAAGTGTCTCCTGCAGCTCTGTGTCTTAATATAAACCAATTCATGAATCTGTCTTCACTGAC